CAAGGGGAAGAGAAAAGTATTTTTGAGCAATTGTCCATGTGGCTATTTCACCACATTTAGTGTTTCCAAATTTCTGTACAACAGCCTGGGCTAGCCCAGCAGCAAATTAAAAATGGACAGAGCTTATGTTTTGCCCCCTTTACCTCACTGTCCCCTGCCCCCCCACACACACACACATCCCCATCTCTCTGGACATAAGCTTTCATTTGTCCTGCATCTTCTGAAAACCTACTTCTAAGAAAGTGTCTGGGTTCATCCATGTCACCACAAAGTAGCATTGGCATATATACACTATCATGTGCAAAATAGCTAGCTAGTGGGAAGCTGCCGTATAACCCGGAGAGCGCACCCTGGTGCTCTGTGATGACCTGGAGGGGAGTGAGGGGAGGGCTGAGGTGGGCTCAAGAGGAAGGGGAGATAGAGAGAGAGATAGATAGATAGAATTATATATGTTTATATTATATATAATATATATATATAATTATGACTGATTTGCTTGTTGTATGGCATAAACCAACACAACATTGTAAAACAAGTATCTGCTAATTTAAAAACCAAAGGTGTGTGATCTCCAACTTAGTATGAATTTAAGACAAAAGTGCCACTTACCTCCGAGAGACAGCTTGTCGAGCCTGGTTTTGTGTTTCGAGTTTCTTCTGTTTCTCTGTCTCTCCTAGCCTTTCAGCCTTGGACAAATACAGGAGATCCATTTGTGGCTCCAACACTTAGCACGCGTGGCACTCTCCAAGCCTGAAAGGAGCTTCTGAGGGCAACAGTCCTGTCCCGGGACTGCTGGGAGGGCCGTGCCTAGCTCTGTCTCAGGTGAAGTGTCAGCTGCTCGGGCAGCCCAGTGCCTCACGTCACCCTGGGTGCACGGCAGTGACTGGTCCAGGGAGGGCCTGCGTGGGCTCAGCATAGTCAAGGGTGTTTCTGGACCTCTGAGAAGAGAATATTTAGGACAAGAAAGACATGCATTCATGAGTCTGAAATTCTCAAATCTTCCACAAGCCACCTTCTCATTCTTGAGAGATATATGTGGGGAAAATGCCCTGCTTGGTAATAACTCGAGTTTTAGCCTGAAGTTCCACACAAAATTTGTAATCTTAAGAAATGTAAGAGGCCCTAGGTGAGATCTCACTTGTGGCCTAGACCAGTATTGGGCACCGTATGGAATAAGGACTACCTGGCTCATAATTACCTGAAGTACTGGTTGAAATCCAGATTGTTAACTCTCCCACAAAGCAAGGAAATTAAGAGTGATGGGGCCAGAATCATGCGGTTTTCATGATCAGTAACTAGTCGTTATTTCGTCTAACCTGAAAGCAATTTGGTCTCTTTCCTTTCAGGGTCTTATGCTTACTTTGTTCTTACAGCTTCAAACTGAGGAGGGGGGAGGGACAAGTGTTCTGAAAAAGGAGGGCTCGATCCAGGCAAGGAAACAGTGTTGCATTTGAACATTTTAAAAATAGTTTATTCTGGGAAAATGGTTCAAGGAGAACAAAAGAAGGTGGGTCAGATTTTAGGAGAAGTAATGAAATTTTGCGAGAAAATAGCAGTTGAAGGAAAAAGCAAACTGAAATACAGCATGAGTTTAAACAGTTAATGTTAGAGACAGAAGTAGGAGCATCATACCTAGAGAGAGGGAAATACAGTTCTACCATTCTGTTGTCCCCAGGACCGAGCAGAACTTTATTTACCTTATTGGTTTTCAACCCATAGCATCAACCTGTAAATAAAACACAGGACACTTTGTTGTGATTGCATAACAACTTGTAAATATTATCATCACAGGTAAACAAAGCAAGCATGCTATTGACCAAAGGTGAGCTGTACAAGGGGAAAGACAGAACTGGGGGCACAAGCAGTCTCAGGCATAAAGAAAATGATGAGATTAGAGTGAAAGTGAATACTGTAGCTATGTACTATAGCTAATATTTCTTGAGAGCTTCCGTGTGTTGGACATTGAAGGCTGCAGATGTGTTATTATTTGCATCATCACGAGCAACTCCACACAATGGTGGTTAGCATCCATTTCCTCATCATACAGGTGAGGAAACAGAAGCCCAGGAAGGTTGAGTAAATTGCTCAGGATTGCAGAGCTAATAAACTGAAGGACAAAACTTCCAAGCCAAGTGGTCCATCTCCAGAACCAAGGCTTTTAGCCACTAGGCTACCACTTCTCCCTTCAATAAAAGCCAGCAGAAATTGCATGGCATTGCAGAAGAGAGGCCGCAGAAGTAATGAAGTGAATATGATGTATTGGAAGGAAGAGGGATGAGACGCAGTGGGGGCAGGAGTTTATCTTTCTGCCTCATGCTAGGGTGCTAAAATGGATCTACAGTGGATACAGCAGATAAACGTAATGTCTAGAATGATGGGGGCAGCATTCATGTGGCCAAAAACTTGTCTCTGGAGAGGGGAACTGGGGTTAGAAAAGTTGAATTTCTGTATTTGAGATGCTATCATGTCCACATATTATTATCATAACAATATTTCCATTTATTTAGAAGTAGCTTGAACTGTGTAAATGCATTAAAACGTGAAATTCAAAATCTTTACATCTCATACATTTGCTAAGTGCTTGCCTTATCAGAATTGTTCTTTTCAGCTTTGAAGGATTTTTTTTTAATGAAAAGCATTATAAATTTTAAAAATTAAAAATTGTCCCTGGTAATATTGTCCTGCACAGCCGAGAGAAGGTGTGGAACTATTAGAAGCAAACTGTATTTCAACCCTGCTTCTGGTAGGCCATTCCGACAACAAAGGGAAGGAGAGTCTCTGAAGTCAGCGAGCAGGAGCTTTGATCCCCTGGAGCTGTAACAAACAACTTGGAGTAAATGAATCAGGCGGCAGGGTGCCGGGAGGAGGCTGTCGGCCTCTCTGTGATGGTGTTCTTTGGTTTTGCAGGACTCATCTCAGCAATGTTGCATTAGGCTCAGTGCTGTGCATTTTTAGGCTGGAGTATTTTAGGCTGGAGTATTTTTCCATCTGTATACTTCACGAAAGCAAGCACTTTTATGCTCCCTTTAAAATGGGAATCTCCTATTTGAATTGCCTGGTGAAGACATTTGAAGTAATTCATTAAGTATACATGCATGCTCTATCTCCATCTATGTAGCTATCAGTCATCCTTTCCCTACTCACCTGCCTGTATTAGTCTGCTCAGGCTGCTCTAACAGAATAGCATAGACTAAGTGGCTTAAACAAGAGACATTTCACACTTCTGGGAAGTCTAAGATCAGGGCAGATCTACTTCCAGGTGAGTCCTCCATTTTTGGCTTGTAGATGGCCATCTTCTTGCTGTGTCCTCCTCACATGATGGAGAGAGAAAGTTTTAGTATTTTTTCTGTTTCTTATAAGAGCTAATCCCATCATGACAGCTCTACCTCATGGCCTCTTCTAAACCTAGTTACCTCCTAAAAACTCCATCTCCTAATTCCATCACACATAAGGGGATAGGGCTTCAATATATGAATCTGTGGAGGGGGACAAAAGAATTCAGTCTTAACTCTCTATATCTGTCTCTGTCTATCTGTCTTTATGTGTAGAATAATAACAGTGGCTTATAATTCATTTCCCTGTGTTATTTTATCCTTCCAAAACTCGTGTGAGGTAAATTGGCCATTGGAAAATCACTGATTTCACTGAAACATTTGAAGGTTGAATTAACTTTGTGATCACACAATCCATAAATGATGATGCCACAATTCAATCCACATCTTCTCCATCCTCCTTTCCTCTTCTCTTCTCCCTTCCCACCTTCTGACTTTATTCCAGCCACATTATTTACTAGCTTTTCCCTTAGGACACTGGTGTCCTTCTTCTGGGCCTTGGAGAGGTTATTCCCATTATCTGGAATGCTTTTTCCTCAGATATCTGACTCAGTTGCCTCCCGCTACACTGTTCAAATTCCACCTTCCCAGTAAGACTTATCCTGTTCTACTGTTTAACTGGAAAGCCTTGTTTCTCTGCCCACAAGGTCAGTTCCCCATACACTGCTTGATCTCTACTGCATTTGTTCCCAGGCTTCCCTGGCGGCTCAGTCAGTGAAGAATCCACCTGCAATGCAGGAGACCTGGTCCCATATCTGGGTCAGGAAGATCCCCTGGAGAAGGAAATGGCAACCCATTCCAGTATTCTTGCCTGGGAAATCCTGTGGACAGAGGAGCCTACAGGTGGGCTACAGTCCCTGGGGTTGCAAAGAGTCTGACACAACTTAGCAACTAAACCACACCACCAACTTGTCAGATAATTTACATTGATTTCTGTTCTCCCCTCTGACTAGAGGACAGGCTACAGAGAGTCAGGAGTTTTGCCTTTATTGAACCTAGTGGAGGCCCAGCAGAACTCCAGGGTCTGCAAGAACTGGACACAGTTATAACTCTTATGTTTGGTATTTTCGCAGCCTATCTCAGAGTCAAGCCAGTTATTGAAGAGAATCTGTTCTGATACTTTAAGCAGTATGATAAACTTGAAGTAGACTTAAATTTTCAACAATTACAGAGCAGGCATGGACTCTTCCTTTGTTTCTCCAGACACATGAACCTGGATATAAAATCCATCCTCTCTGGGTGAAGTGGGAACATACAAAGATGACTGGCCTAAGTTTCAATTGGATAAAAAGATGCACAAAAGAGACATGTAAACATTTTCAAAAATGAAAACCATAAAGTGTGTTTCCTCTTCACACATCTAGCCTCTAGTGTGGTTAGAGTGGTGCAGGGGGAGAGAGACACAGAGAAGTAAGGATGAGTTGCCCCGTCTCTCCCTCCTCTGGACCTTAGTGCTCCCTGGACTGTCACTGCTTACACCCAAAGCAGATTTCAGAAGTCAGCACACATGGTCATAATGTACGCCTAGCTCCACAACCCAGTCACTGGGACCCAGAAAATTCTGCAACCTTAAGTCTGCCTCAACACATCATGACTCATATATATCAATGAGTAAAGACACATAAACAGTAGTAGATTAACAAGAATGAGTTTTTACTTATATATAAATTACATACATACATATTTGTACGTAACGCTGGGAAAAATAAGGGTCCATTGAGGCAAATGGGTAGGGGGAGAGAAAGCAGCTAAAGACAGCAGTAGAACTTGCCAGTTCCAAGTGTAGGGAACACAGCCAGAAGTTTGGTTGTCCGAGTTTACAGTCAAACGAGGGGTGGCATAGTGGATGATAACATGCAGGTTATTTTCCACCTTCCAAATGGAACTTCTCAATTCTGGTATGTAGTTCTGAACTGGGTGCATATGCTTGTCACCCTGCAACACACACACACCCACATTCCTCACCATGCACATACAACACACACCTACTCATGCACACCGCTGAGAGTATGGTCCTTTGGCTCATTGGAGGAAGAAAGCAGGTTAACAGTTTCACTTAAATGGACGGAGTCGTTTTCCAGCAAAGCCCGTTCATCGTTGCACAGAATCTGCAAAACAAGATATGCTCTTTATTCTCTGAGTTTCTTCACAGAAGAAAGGAGTTTGCTAATGCTCCAGTGAAATCCTGGGCAGGTGATGAAAGTAACAGACCCAGAGCACAGACGCAGCTTCCCTGACCAGGAGCCGCTAAACACAACATTGTGCTCCTCCAGTCAGAGGTGTGCCCTGAGTTGGGGTCCCAGGAGTTCCGAGTACAGATGTTCCTCTCTAAATATATATGGTGCTATCCCCCATCGTACTACGTGGGTTTGGGCTGGGGAGGCCTGGGTGCTTTGTATGAACGGAACACCAGAAGTGTACCCAGTCACAGCGGGTGAGGTGCTGGCCCCCATCACCCGCTCTGTGCTTTGCAGATATGAGTTCCGAGCCCAGTGGCAGTGCTGACACTGGGGCCTCCCACCCTAGATGAGATGCGGCTCCTTCCATGCGTTCACCTGCCGGGGCCCAGCCCCGGCAGGACCCAGGGGAGCCCTCAGGATGAACGGCGTGGGCGAATGAGAGAGAGTGAGACAGAGCTCGGGGCTGAGTCTGCAGTTTCTTTCTGCACGGCTCCTCTATACCCTTAACATCTTTGGGGGACGTGCATATTGCTTACACACAGGTCATCTCAAAACATGACAGCAGCTTGACCTTCAACAGAAACTGGATGTCACCCACATATTTTCGTTCACAAGAGTCTTTCTTATCATTTGGCCTTCAGGCCTGCTAACATTTTATGGCTTGCACCTGGTGTGACTTAAGCAACTTCAGTAGCCGACCCTGTTTTTCTTATAATTAATCTATTTTCTTTCTAATAAGCGTCATCTCTATGGGAACTAGATAGGATTACATTGTTACAGAACAGAAATGCGAAGGACTGCAAAAACAGCAGATATGGCACAAAACAGGCTCTTAGTCTAAAAGTTAACTACGTGCAAGAAGTCGCCAGCTAATCCCTACCTAAAGTATTTTCTATGAGGCACATTTGTGGCTATCATGTTTGTGGAGCTTCTCTCACCCCATGAAGGGGCCTATGCTTAATAGTTTCTTTTGTTAGCCTACTGCACTTAGGATGTTTAGAACAATCATGAGCATTTTGTGCAATAAGAGCACACATTTATCAAACAAGCCAGAATGCCAGCAAAAGGGTTTGAACTGAAGCATTTCCTTCATCCCTGGCCCCTTCATAGGGTACCAGCATCCAGGAGATTTATTAATTAGGGTTTTAAGTTGGTGTTTATTCAGTGAAAGAGGAGCAGGAGAGCTCTCGGCAGGCAACACAAGAATCTGCAGCAGGGCAAACAAGAACAGCAGCAGAAAAATGGGGGGAGGATACAGGGTGGGGTAGAGGCCGAGGCCAACCTGGAGGGTCCCTTATCCTAGATGGCCTTGCTGTGAGGATTTTTCCTCGTGACCTCGTCATGGATGGGGTCCCGGATGGCCTTGCCCACCCGGTATTTTCTTCATGACCTCATCACGGGCGGGACCTCCCATAACGGCTCCTGGCATTCACCCATGGTGTATTGGCCAGGTGGGTCCAATACACTGATGGAAAGTGTGGATACCAGGTCCTCCATTCCTGGGAATGATGACGTTCCCTCCTATACCACCACCACTTGGATCTTGGACAGGTGGACCCCTTGTGTTTGAAAATAAGGTGGAACTTCTAGTGGGTTTCAAGCCAGGGGTGGGTCTCACACTTACAAATCCAATGGATGCAGTGTTGTTCTGGTGAAAAGTTGAAATTGACTTGTCCCTTGACACAAATTTCTTCTTCACGGTGATTGGATTTTTAACTGTGGATTTTCTACACTCACGTGGGTCCTGGGTGCGGTGATGGGAAGTGGTAACACCCCGACCTCTAACCATAAGGATGGTGGTGTCCCCTGCCGTGCCTCTGCCACCTGGACTTGGCTCCAGGAGACCCCAGGCGTCTGGATTCAAGCTGGAACCAGATATGTGCCCGGATGCTGGATGGTGGCTTGCCCTTGCCACTGCAGCAGGCACCTGCAATGAGATGACCCCAAGGTGATCTGGCCACAGTAGGAACACAGGTGGTGCTGGGTGTCCCACACAGTTCTGTCCAAAAGTTAGGTGGGCCAGATGCTTCTGAATAAGTGAGGCCTAGGGCATTCACACCAACCCAAAACTCCCACCAGCCATAGAGGCTGCAGGTCCCATCAACAGTGGGCCTGATGTGGTACTAGCAGACAGCAAGCTACTGTCTCCAGTACTGGGCACTGTAGTATCCACTCCAAAACCAGAAGTAGCAGATACATCCCTGGGGAAAATACCTGAGCTGTTAGCAAAGGCCGCCTGCATGTTGATGGTGGTGGTGGAAGACAGGCGATCTGGTAAACCTGAATCCATTATCCTTCCTTGGGGTGGCTGGACTGCAGAAGAGGTTAGCTTTTTATCTTGTGCTAGGGCTAATGGGTTTCCCAGTGAAATAGACTTGTTAGGCTTCTTCCTATTGTTGGCCCCAGATGTGGGTTGAATGGTGAGTTCTGGGTTTCAAGCTTCACTTGAAGCTGTTGATCAACTGAACAGGTAAGTCTGTCGAGGCTTGGGTCCAGGCATTGCTGCCACTGGGTGCTGTGTTCTCAGAACCAGGAACGGCCATGTGATCTCAGTAGTGCTTCTCTTTGGAGTCAGAGGTAGACTGGAAAGTCAATTCTGAGGACGACTTTGATGTCAAAGCATTGGTTTGACATCTGTAGAGATGCTGACTGCTGAAGCATAGATAACTGCCGAAGCCATAGGTGGGGGTTTGGGGAAAACAGGAGCTGGAGCCATAGATGGGGGGCTGGGGAAAACAGGAGCTGGAGCCATAGGTGGGGGTTTGGGGAAAACAGGAGCTGGAGCCATAGATGGGGGTTTGGGGAAAACAGGAGCTGGAGCCATAGATGGGGGGCTGGGGAAAACAGGAACTGAAGCCATAGATGGGGGTTTGGGGAAAACAGGAGCTGGAGCCATAGGTGGGGGGCTGGGGAAAACAGGAGCTGGAGCCATAGGTGGGGGTTTGGGGAAAACAGGAGCTGGAGCTATAGGTGGGGGTTTGGGGAAAACAGGAGCTGGAGCCATAGATGGGTGTTTGGGGAAAACAGGAGTTGCATCCATAGGTGGGGGGCTGGGGGAGGCAGGACCTAAAGCCGTAATTTGGGGACTGAGGGAAACAGCCAACGCCATGGAGAGGGGCCAGGGAAGACAGGACCAAAAGCTGTGGATGGGGGCTAGGGGAGAGAGTGGACGGAACCCTAGATGGAGGGGTGGGGGAGACACTGGCTGGAGTCCTACATAGTGCGGCCGGGGAGGACAGGACCCAAGGCCGTAGATGGGGGCCCAAGGGAGACACCAGCAGGAGTCCCAGGTGGGGGCCCAGGGAAGGCAGCAGCCTGATTCCCAGGTGGGGGCCCGGGGAGGACGGCAGCCGGAGCGCCAGACGAGGGCCCGGGGAAGGCGGCAGCAGGAGCGCCAGACGAGGGCCCGGGGAAGGCGGCAGCAGGAGCGCCAGACGAGGGCCCGGGGAAGGCGGCAGCAGGAGCGCCAGACGAGGGCCCGGGCAAGGCGGCAGCAGGAGCGCCAGACGAGGGCCCGGGCAAGGCGGCAGCAGGAGCGCCAGACGAGGGCCCGGGGAAGGCGGCAGCAGGAGCGCCAGACGAGGGCCCGGGGAAGGCGGCAGCAGGAGCGCCAGACGAGGGCCCGGGGAAGGCGGCAGCAGGAGCGCCAGACGAGGGCCCGGGGAAGGCGGCAGCAGGAGCGCCAGACGAGGGCCCGGGGAAGGCGGCAGCAGGAGCGCCAGATGAGGGCCCGGGGAAGGCGGCAGCCTGATACCCAGATGAGGGCCCGGGAAAGGCGGCAGCCTGATACCAAGATGAGGGCCCGGGGAAAGCGGCAGCCTGATACCCAGATGAGGGCCCGGGGAAGGCGGCAGCCTGATACCAAGATGAGGGCCCGGGGAAGGCGGCAGCCTGATACCCAGATGAGGGCCCGGGGAAGGCGGCAGCAGGAGCGCCAGATGAGGGCCCAGGGAAGGCGGCAGCCTGATACCCAGATGAGGGCCCGGGGAAGGCGGCAGCCTGATACCAAGATGAGGGCCCGGGGAAGGCGGCAGCCTGATACCCAGATGATGGCCCGGGGAAGGCGGCAGCCTGATACCAAGATGAGGGCCCAGGGAAGGCGGCAGCCTGATACCCAGATGAGGGCCCGGGGAAGGCGGCAGCCTGATACCCAGATGAGGGCGCGGGGAAGGCGGCAGCCTGATACCCAGATGAGGGCCCGGGGAAGGCGGCAGCAGGAGCGCCAGATGAGGGCCCAGGGAAGGCGGCAGCCTGATACCCAGATGAGGGCCCGGGAAAGGCGGCAGCCTGATACCAAGATGAGGGCCCGGGGAAGGCGGCAGCCTGATACCCAGATGAGGGCCCGGGGAAGGCGGCAGCCTGATACCCAGATGAGGGCGCGGGGAAGGCGGCAGCCTGATACCCAGATGAGGGCCCGGGGAAGGCGGCAGCAGGAGCGCCAGACGAGGGCCCGGGGAAGGCGGCAGCAGGAGCGCCAGACGAGGGCCCGGGGAAGGCGGCAGCAGGAGCGCCAGACGAGGGCCCGGGGAAGGCGGCAGCAGGAGCGCCAGACGAGGGCCCGGGCAAGGCGGCAGCAGGAGCGCCAGACGAGGGCCCGGGCAAGGCGGCAGCAGGAGCGCCAGACGAGGGCCCGGGCAAGGCGGCAGCAGGAGCGCCAGACGAGGGCCCGGGCAAGGCGGCAGCAGGAGCGCCAGACGAGGGCCCGGGCAAGGCGGCAGCAGGAGCGCCAGACGAGGGCCCGGGCAAGGCGGCAGCAGGAGCGCCAGACGAGGGCCCGGGCAAGGCGGCAGCAGG